TGCTCTGGATACTGACACATCAGTCAGGCAAGATTTATTCCAAGAAGGCCTTGGCAGCTGGGAACACACCTAGGAGATCCATTGCCTAGAGTGGGGAAGGGAGAATTGCCCAAGCACGCTCACTTTCTACGTCTTATTAGAGGATGTGTGGGGAACTTGTGGTCCTCCAGATAGAGCTGGACTCCAGCTCCCATAATCCCATGAGCATAGCATGATGACACAGGAAGACCTAGATCAGGCCACAGGCCCATCCATCCCACCTTCCTGTTTTCACAATGCCCACCCAGATGCCTCTGGGAAGTTCACAAGCAAGACCTGAGCACAAAAGTGCTCTGTCCCCTCCGGTGGTTTCCAGCAACCCTACTCTGTTGTTGTTTAGTCGTTTAGTCGTGTCCAACTCTTCGTGACCCCATGGACCAGAAGACGCCAGGCACTCCTGTCTTCCACTGCCTCCCGTAGCTTGGTCAAACTCATGCTGGTAGCTTCAAGAACACTGTCCAACCATCTCGTCCTCCGTTGTCCCCTTCTCCTTGTGCCCTCCATCTTTCCCAACATCAGGGTCTTTTCCAGGGAGTCTTCTCTTCTCATGAGGTGGCCAAAGTACTGGAGCCTCAGCTTCACAATCTGTCCTTCCAGTGAGCACTCAGGGCTGATTTCCTTAAGAATGGGTAGGTTTGATCTTCTTGCAGTCCATGGGACTCTCAAGAGTCTTCTCCAGCACCATAATTCAAAAGCATCAATTCTTCGGCGATCAGCCTTCTTTATGGTCCAGCTCTCACTTCCATACATCACTACTGGGAAAACCATGGCTTTAACTATACGGACCTTTGTTGGCAAGGTGATGTCTCTGCTTTTTAAGATGCTGTCTAGGTTTGTCATTGCTTTTCTCCCAAGAAGCAGGCGTCTTTTAATTTCGTGGCGCAGATGGTGACAGCAACCCTACTAGTTCCCCCCAAATATTTTCCCTTTGCAAAAAAAAGGGGGAAATTTATTGTAGGCAAACACAGCAGGTGGGGAACTGTGAGAAAAGCTTCATATCAGAGGAGGGCCCCAGTCTTGCCACTCGCCACCTGGTCTAGGGCAGGGTCTGACAGGCCATATAAGAGCTGCTGCTGGGCAGAGAGGGCTCTGTTTTTTGTTTTTTTTAAAAAATTGCTGTTATTTTTTACCTATGGCATTTAAACTGTGATATTAATGCTGTATTCCTAGTTTTAGATTTTGATTTATGTGGAAATTGTTTTCCATTTGGTTGTGTATTTTTTTGATGTGGTTTATTTATTGATGACTTTCGTAATTATGTAAATCTTGTCATGTTGTAAGCTGCCTTGAGCACTGAGTTATTGTTTTGTTGTTTCTGTTTTAACTATTTATTTGTGCTTTTATATTGTGTTTTTATCTAGCGAATCACCCTAAGATCTTTCGATGAAGGGCGGTATATAAATCTTAATAATAATAATAATAATAATAATAATAATATCTATGATTGTGGTTTCTTGAATCGTGGGCATCATCCAGCATAAAGTCTTCCCTTAACATTGAGGTGCAGCTCCAAGGGCCTTCTGGCAGTTCCCTCACGGCAAGAAGTGAGGTTACGGGGAACCAGGCAGAGGGCCTTCTCGGTAGCGGCGCCCGTCCTATGGAACGCCCTCCCATCAGATGTCAAGGAGAAAAATAGCTATCTGAATTTTAGAAGACATCTGAAGGCAGCCCTGTTTAGGGAAAGTTTTAATGTTTGATGTTTTATTGTGTTTTTAATATTGTGTTGGAAGCTGCCCAGAGCGGCTGGGGAAGCCCAGCCAGATGGGCGGGGTATAAGTAATAAATATTATTATAATTAATTAATTAACTAACTAACTAACTAACTAACTAACTAACTCAAAACCTCTAGGTGGGAATCGACAATAGTTCAGCAAAATAGATGTCAGTTCCTTTCTACACACACATAGCTCTCTGCCTTCCCCACAGGACCCATGGTCATACCAAACAGGGACAAAAGGCTGAAAATACCAATATATTTTGGTTTCTGTGTATACACACACACCAGCTGGTGCATGCAGTGACTAAGACCATCCTCTTACCTCATCCATGAAATCACTAAGAGGCCTTAGTGAAGCCATTATTCTCTCAGCCTCAGCTGCAACATGAGGGAGCAGTGGGTAACAATCATGGCCTACTTTGCATCGTCAGGGCGACTTGTAATGTTCAGACAGTGCTGCCTAAATGCCATTCCAACTACGACTAATACCAATTTTAATCAGTGCAGCTGAAAGTCAAGGGCAGCCGTGTCTGTTTCAGAAAAGCTATTTTGGGTCTGGCCTGTTGCTATAATAGGACATGTAACGAATAAATACTGGTGGCCTTTCCTTATGACAATGAGTGATACGGCTTGTTTATTCAACAAGATTTCTCCAGCACCCCAAGGTGCGTTTTCTCATTTGCAAATTCATTTCCATTTAATCACTTTAAAAGACAGATGATTAATCAACCAAAATTAATATGCATTAATCGCCCGCCCCCCTCTGCCTGTCTTTGCCTCCCTCCCCATCCCTGCCACTTCTGTTATTTAACTTCGGCTAAAATTTAGATTGTAAACCCCTTGGGAGCAGGGGCCTGTCTAAGTCAACAAATGTCCTGTATATAGATGACTATATCAGTCCTCGCCAACCAGATGTGTTTTTTTACTGCAACCCCATTTGCCCTCTGCTGGTGAGGCTAATGGGAATTGTAGTCCAAAACAGAAACATAGAATCCTAGAGGCTGGAGGAGGCTGCGATGGGGAGAGAACTCAAGAGGAGGAGAACACTCATTTGGGATCTCCACAGTCCCGCAAAACAGGTGAGCCCATCGCACCTCGTCTTAGAAATGAGGCCGCGGGCACAGAAACCACTGGGACTTCTTCCCTCAGTCCTGAACATCTTGCCTCATTCCTGAACTCCGGAATTCCGAGCTCAGTGTCTGCGGACCAAGCCTATACCCTTAACTTCCCTGATGGAAGATCTCTTTTCTTACTTACACGTCAGGGCCGCCTCCTGTGAGTGTTGGGCTTGAGGTAGGTACAAATTCAATACACCCCAGCAACCACCGCAGATAAAGTAGAGAAAACTAGAGGCAGAAACCCCCCCTTCCAACCACGTACAAACCCTCGTGTACCTGCAGTGGGCTGTCAATTTTTCCCTGTGGCAAATGAATTTAACCACCCATTTTCTACCTGATGCTTGGAGTGACATCACAGGGAAAGCGCTACCTCATCTGTTACCAAGTAACCATTAAATACTGTTGGGAGGGAGGGGAATATGTGAAGTGGGGGAGTATGATACCATTTGCTCCATCAACTCGGGAAAGTATTTACTCGCTTTTTCTCAGTTCCTTCATCCATGGGGACAAAGTCACTCGAGAGACTGCCTTAGCCCTTACATTGGGGCTAAGGGACCTTTGGCCCTCCGGGTGTCGCTGAACTACAGTTCCCATCCCAGCCATGGGGCTGCTAGGAGTGGGGGTTCAGCAACTTCTGGAGGGCTGGAGGTTCCTGTAGAATTTCCTCTGCAAGTTCCAAAGATATCACAAGCCCACGTCACAGAGCAGGGCTTTCAGTGTGGCTGCCCCTGTTCTGTGGAACAGTGTTCCTGTTGAGATACAACAGCCATAGGAGCAAACTCCAAAGGGCTGAGGTCCCTTACCTGGGCCCGCTCCCCAAATATTTTATTCAAGTTGGCACCCCTGCACTTTCTGGAAACAATATAAAAAAATTCCTTCCAGTAGCACCTTAGAGACCAGCTAAGTTTGTTATTGGTATGAGCTTTCGTGTGCATGCACACTTCTTCAAATATCTGAAGTGTGTATCTGAAGAAGTGTGCATGCACACGAAAGCTCATACCAATAGCAAACTTAGTTGGTCTCCAAGATGCTACTGGGATTTTTCTTATTTTGTTTCGACTACGGCAGACCAACACGGCTACCTACCTGTACCCGGAAACAATATGTTGCATCAGCAAGCTATCCTAGCTAGATAAACTGGTCTCTGCCACAAGTGTCTACATTATATTGTTTTCAAATTGATCTGCTGTTATTTATGTGGTGCCACATTCTGGATTAGTTGTAGTTTGAGTCATCTTCAAAGGTAGCACCACGTAGAGCACATTGCAGTAGTCCAAGCAGGAGATAACCAGAGCATGTACCACTTTGGCGAGACAGTGCACAGGCAGGCAGGGTCTCAGACAGCATACCAGATGGAGATGGTAGATAGATGCCCTGGACCAGGACAGCTCATCACTATGTCCAGGGACTGCATCGCCTCTCCTATTTGAGGTGTTACAGAGAAATAAGTTAGCCCCCCATTCCTCTGGAGACATTAAGGAGGCAAAGGAGAAATTCTAATCCACATTTACAATTGCTTAAAGACCAGAGAGGGAGACATGTTTTTAAATAATTATTTACATATTTATTAAGACTTTAAAAAAATAAAATCCACCTTTCTATTCTAAAAACAGAAGCCACAGGGCATTTTTTTTACAAAAGTCAACAGACAAAAGGTACCTAAGACAAAATTCTAGGAGAGAAACAGCAAGCAGCAGTCATAAAACAGGCTGTCGCAAGCTTGTCTCTCAATGTGGCTATCTAGAAAAGGGGTATCCTTTAAAAGAAAAAAGTAGTTGTTTTATCTAGTGTCCAAAAAGACATAAAAAGGAGAGCTAGATAAATCTCCTGCAGCAGAGGATTCCCACAGCTCAGGTGCCACCACTGAGAAGGCCGTGTCAGTCATGCCCACCAAGAACACTTCAGGTGGTGAGGAAACAAGGAGTGCAAATGTAGCATACCAGCCTCCTCTGAGGAACAGAATGCGCAAACTGGTTTCTGTGGCTTGTACGCAGCTAAGTTCTGCTCAGAGTAAACCCATTAAAATTGATTAACCCTGCTTTAAAAAAAGGTAAAGGACCCCTGACAGTTAAGTCCAGTCGCAGACAACTCTGGGGTTGCAGCGCTCATCTCGCTTTACAGGCCGAGCAACGGAAGCTCACCCCGTCGCAGGGATTCAAACTGCTGACCTTCTGATCAGCAAGCCCAAGAGGCTCGGTGGTTTAGACCACAGCGCCACTAGCGTCCCTTAAGCTTGCTTAGGCATGCCTATTAACTTAAATGGGCCAGCTCTGAGTAGGGCTACCATTGGCTACAACCCTATGGTTCAGGTCCTTATAAACGTTCACACTTGATTTCTGGGATAATATTACATACAGAGTTAAGCATCTCTACTCCTTCAGGGAACACTTCCCACACTCCCCACATGATATGTGCTCTTCCTCTGGGAATCCATGCAGATTGGGCCCACAGCAAGAGTGGGTGACAGCAGTGAGGAAGACACTGGCATGTGGCGTCAGGACACCCCCCAACCTCTCACTCCACCCCCCACCCCCCAAAAACCCCTTGGCACTGAAACCGTGAGGTTTCTATAAGACGCCCTTGAAAACATCCCCAGTATAACAGCACAAAGTCAACATGTTTAACCTTCACTGAGCAGAATCTTGCGTTTAAAAACGAAAGCGTCGTCTCCTGAACTGCACTGATTTCAGAATATGAAACAGACTAGGAAAGAGGCTAAGCTTCTAACAGGAGAGCATTCCCCGCCACGGGGATCGGTGGAGGAGTGCGCAGCCATTTATTCCTCTCTGTGCTTTCTGGGCAGGAATAAACTGCTGACCACTGTCGCCGCAATGGCCACAAGGCCTACGCCGAAGAGCCCTACTGTGCCAGCAACCAAGGTGTCTCTCACCTGCAAACAACACAGAAGGGGAAACTGTTAAGCTGTATAGGCCTCTAGGATGTTGCTGGGCTACCTGCCAACATTTCTCCAGTGAAATAGGGCCGTCGTAAGTAATAATAATAATAATAATAATAATAATAATAATAATAATAATTTTATTTATACGGCATCCATCTGACTGGGTTCCCCCAGCCACTCTGGACAGCTTCCACCATTTTATATTATGTTATATATATAACATAATAAAAATGAAACATTTAAAAACTTCCCTATACAGGACTGCCTTCAGATGTCTGCTAAAGGTTGAATAGTTACTTATCTCCTTGGCTCGGGGGTTGCATAACTCCACACCCTCCGATGCAAACAAGGACGTCCTAGGGAAAAGAGGGACATTCCAGGATCAAATCAGAAACTGGGACGGCTTCTGTAAATCCAGGACTGTCACTGGAAAATAGGGACACTTGGAGGGTCTGCTTAGGTTGATGAGTGTGTTAAGATACAGTTCAGCAAGATCGAGATGGTTCAGAGTTTCATTTTGCTGTGTGTATGTGGCTTTATATTCAGATGGAATGCACCAGAACTCTGTTGCAGCACCTCTCTGTTGCACCTCTGTTGCAGCACCAGAACTCTGTTGCAGCCATTGCCATTCTAAGAGAACAAGGGAAGGCGTTCATGGTGAGTTCCGGCACCTCTTTTTCTAGAAAAATAACACTGTTATATATATGTACAGTGGTACCTCAGGTTACATACACTTCAGGTTACAGACTCCACTAACCCAGAAATATTAGCTCTTCAGGATGAGAACAGAAATCGCTTCAGGATGAGAACAGAAATTGCGCTCCAGCGGCCCGGCGGCAGCAGGAGGCCCCATTAACTAAAGTGGTTCTTCAGGTTAAGAACAGTAACAGGTTAAGAACGGACCTCCGGAACGAATTAAGTACTTAACCCGAGGTACCACTGTATGTGTATGTCAATAAAATCCTATAAGGTATCCTAGATGCACCAGTCTGCAGTGACCTTCATTCCAAGAGAACTGAACTCTGCATATGCACAGGAAACTCTGGAGTCCCTAAGCTGCTCGGCAATTGGGGAACATGCAACATCATTCTCACTACAGCTGCTCCAGGAAGAGTTTTTACAGCAATACATTGGGAGAAAGGGGCTGATAAGATTAGCGTTTTTTCCTGAAGGCCACAAAATTGCTCTGCCCTTTCGAAGCAGTGAGACTTGTGCTAATCTGGCACACTGCAGCCACGGCTGTGGCCCATCGATACGCACCTGGTCGCTCATAGCCGTGCCGTAGCGCAGCCTGGTGACAAAATGTTCGCAGTTCTCGCTGGCCAAGCTGTAGCGGATTTCTTTGCCCAGGAGCGCCTCCGCCTCCTGCACGATTTTGTTCGCCGGGAGCGGCTCGTATTTCTGATCGTATTTGTTGTTGATGCGGCAGACGTCGTCCCCGACGACGCTCCACAGGAGTTCCTTCTTCACCACGGCTTTTTCGGACAGGGCAGACATCAGGCTGGAGGTGCTGGCCTGGTATAAGTCATCTTGGAAGACACAAAGGGAATATCAGTAATGCAGTAGGCCTGTTTTTGTACTCCTCTCTAGCCTCCATTCAGACAAGCACGAGGCATGATCAGAGTTCAAGGACACATTCCAGACAGGAGGGTGTGGAGCAAGGCTGGTGAGGCTGCTAAGGGCCAGGTAAAGAGGACTGGAGGGCCACATTTGCCCTGCTCCCCCCAGATCTGAGTTTCACCAGCCTGTAATAACATAATCCATTGTGATATCCAATATCTTTTACAATAGGAATCATTTAAAGAAAGGATCCTGCCCATTGATAATTCAAGTCCACTCTTCTTCAGAATTGACAGTCCTTGTGCTCCCTGACTTTGTTCGCCCACCTTCATTTTTCAAAATCACCCATGTAGTTATACAGGATGAGCTTTTTAATACACAAAACCAGAACTAGAAGACTAGCTGTGCCAAATGTGATCCTATAGTTCTGGTTTCTCAGCAAAAAGATAAAAATAAAAAGACCGATAGCCGTCCCCTTCACCCTCATCATCCCAAACAAAAAAGTCTGAAGGATGCAGCCCTTTTAAGGTAGGACTAGAGTGGAGATAGAGTGTGTTGTAGTGGTTAAGAAGAAGGAGAGTTTGGATTTGATATCCCACTTTATCACTACCCAAAGGAGTCTCAAAGCAGCTAACATTCTCCTTTCCCTTCCTCCCCCACAACAAACACTCTGTGAGGTGAGTGGGGCTGAGAGACTTCAAAGAAGTGTGACTAGCCCAAGGTCACCCAGCAGCTGCATGTGGAAGAGCAGAGACGCGAACCCGGTTCCCCAGATTATGAGCCTACCGCTCTTAACCACTACACCACACTGGCTCTCTTAAGAGCGGTGGACTCATAATCTGGTGAACCAGGTTCGCTTCCCCGCTCCTCCACATGCAGCTGCTGGGTGACCTTTAGGGTGGTGATAAAGCGGGATATCAAATCCAAACTCTTCTTGCTTCACCCGCTCCTTGGGTGTTTTCTCTGAGCTTAAATGTGTCCTTGAACTCTGTTCATGCCCAGGGCCGTAGCTAGGGGGTGGTGAGGTGGGCCCATGCCAGGGGCACAGGCGATGGGGTGGGGTGCAAAATCAGCTAAAAAATATGTCTAAAATATAAATATTAATTATTGCCTCATAAGAAATGGTTTTAAATAGAGGGTGAATTGAATGGGTGGAGGGGGGGTTGGAGGAGAGGCGGAAAGAAGAGCTAATTTGTCCGTGGGTAGGGGGCGCAATCTGGATGGTTCTGCCAGGGTGCAAGATCACCTATCTACGGCTCTGTTTATGCCCCCTGTTTCCCTGGATGGAGGGGAGAGGGTGGGTGTGTGCGAGTCTGGGCCCGATTGCGTGGCAAGGTGTGATCCAGGGGAAACTGCCAAGATGCACACCTCTCTAGAAGCAGCCTCCTCCGGACCCAGGGCCCTAATCCAGCACTCGTGAAAAGCCCCGCAGCTTTCTGCGTTGTGAAAAGATGGCCAATAATATCCATCTTGGCAATGCCCAACATAGAGGCACAGGACCAGTTGGCAATGCCAGCAACCGTGAACCCTGCCTGACTTGGCCGTGCACCCGATACAATCCTGAGCACCTTACCTGAGGGAGCCAGGTGGATCACGAAACCGGAACCCACGTAGATGGCCCAGTGCTGGTAGCCCACACGGGAAATCTCTATCAGGTCTCCAGGCTTCGGCTCTATCTGTCAAGAGAGAATCAGAGAGGCGAGTGCCAGGAGGGAGCTGATGTGATAAAGGAGTGTAAATCAGCAAGGTGACAATGCACGCAGGACTGTGGCAGGAAACCGAGGATGCCAGGAAACCGGGAATTATGTTCACATGTAGTGGAAATATGTACAATTTTTTGGGTAAAGGGTGTTTAAGGAGATAACAGAAATCACTGGGTTAAAGCTGACCGAAAGTCCAGAGGTAGCATTATTATCAATTTACGGTGGGGTGGGTGGAAGATTCGCAGGCTATGAAGGGCTTGCTCACAAATTTATTGACAGCTGCACGAATTATTATAGCCAGGAAGAGGAAGGGGCAAGCAGAATATAAATTGGAAGAATGGTATGAAGAAGTGTGGGATACAGCTATTAATGATAAATTAACATGTGCTATTAAGGTAAGGCAGGGAATATGCAGGAGAAATGATTTTGAGGAGATATGGAAGGTGTTTGTAGAATTTATACTGTTCAAATGGAATGGGGTCAAACCATCGCAAGAGATGTTGAAATTTTGGGAGGTTGGATAGTTACAGCGGAATGGTCTCGGTGGTGGGGTGCACATTTTTATTTATTTATGATTATTACTTTGTAAATAAAAAAGGACTGTGGCAGGAGGGCAAACGCTGAAGAAAGCTTTGTGCTGGGATATGATTAGATGCTAGGAGAGGATATCTTTATTAGATATTATCCTTCCTCCCTCATGTTAGTGTGTTCAACAGAGTCCCATCCCTTTGCTTCCCAGTTTAGGGGAGTTTTTAATGTTTGATGTTTTATTCTGTTTTTAATCTGTTGGGAGCCGCCCAGAGTGGCTAGGCAAACCCAGCCAAATGGGCGGGGTATAAGTAATATGTTGTTGTTGTTATCATTATCATTATCATCATCATCATTATTATTATGAATCTAAATAATAATAATAATAATAATAATAATAATAATAATAATAATAATAATAATAATAACAACAACAACAATAATATTTATATGCCACCCATCTGACTTTTTTGCCCCAGCCACTCTGGGCAGCTTCCAGAAAAATATAAAAACGCCATAAAACATAAAACATTGAAAACTTCCCCATACAGATAGGCTACTTTTAGCCTTTTAGTTTTGGTAATCCAGGTCGCTTTAAGGCAGACTGGATTTTCCTGCTATTAGCTCCTTTTCTCCCCCTTAAAATAACAATCACACACAGTTTGCAAAATGTAGAAATAATTTTTTCCCACTCAGTATATGTCTTGAAGAATACCAGAGATAGCAGCTAGGTGCAGGCAGGCTTAAAATGCTAACTGAGTTCCTAAAACATACTAAGTCTATCTTAAATACAGAGTCTGAACTGGGGCTCAGAATTACAGGTGTCGTCATGGGTGTCCAGTGCCACACACCACGGCCTGATGTCATGATTAACATTTTTATGCTGCTTTTCCACATAAAAACATGCTCAAACCAGCTCACGACAGAACCGCTAAAATTCAGAACAATGCATCATTACAATAACACTCACATACTAAACCATTTCACAACATGAAGCAATAATAATAAAAAAAACCACCCCAATTTGATTCCATGCGTCAAATCGAAAAGCCCTGTCATTTAAGACACAGCACCGCCTTTGTGTGTGTGTTTTGCCACAGTCCTATGAACTAGAAACTTATCATTTAACAGCAAAAACAGCAATCACTTTGAATGTCCAGAGGCTTGTCTGGACGCTTTGCTAGGAGTTGAAATCCAACCTTGAGCAGCATAATCCCTGAGGGCACCCACAGAAGGCTATATTTAACTCGGCCAAGAGATGACAGAGAGACGCTTCAGAAGCGGCCGTGCTCTGTGACACACCACAATGCACACCAACAGAAATGGCTGGAGAAACAGCAGAGGCCATTTGGCTTATCTGTCAACTGCAGTTGGTACTTACATAGCCAGACATCTTGAGGAGCTGCAGGCAGGCCGGCCCGGACGGATACTCCACCCTCGCCAGCAGACGGTGGCTTAGTTTAGCGATTGTGGACAGCTGCAGGCAGGGCGGGGTGAAGGCTCTAAATCGCCTTTGCGCTGGAAGGGGCCTAGGCTGAGGGTGTTGAAATGGGCAGAGGCAGGCATCCCAGAGGGACCGGCTGACTTGCCAAAAGCCAAAGCCGAGGAAACTGGAGGAAGCCTCTCATTAATTTTCTTTTCCTTTTTTTTGAAAAGGTGCGATATTTGTGTTTCGCCAGAACGTGGGCCCCGCCAACGAAAGGGCAAAACATTCCCCTGGATTTCTCATGCAGAGGAAAGGTACAAAAACATACACAGAGAGGCTTGTAAATAGGGCATTGTTTGCAACCATCTCTGGCTGCCTACATGCCATGCATTGAAAAGGCCGGCCCTCCCTCTCACCCGCCAAAAGGAATTGTGGGAACTGCAGTTTTAAGGGTGCTGGGAATTGCAGGTCTCTACAGTTCCCGGGATTTGGTGTGTTCGTGTACATCGATGTATCACAAGTTGTGCTGCTGTTTAAAAATCAATCAATAATTTCTGAAAGGATGTAGACCTTGGCAGTGTCACGAAGTAACATATTTTTCGGAGAAAATACTTGTGAAATACTGGCTGCATGCACACCATAAATTTAAAGCGCACACACACATACACACTTGAATACTGGCCAATGTAAACACCAGTTGTGGGCAGCTCATGGGAGTCAGAATAAATGTTGTTGTGTACATAGCCTACATCTGTGAATGCTGGCATAAATAAAGCCTTGAAGACCCCCTCTCCAACTCCCACAAAGGGCAGGCACCTTGAATATACTGTTTTAGACGCCTGCTGAAAACTTGTTTGTTTCATCAAGCGTATCTGTAGACACATGATTTAAGTACATTTATTTTAAATGTTTTAATAACAGAGGGGTGTGAGGGTGGATTTACACACACACACACACACATTTGTTCTCTATATCAGTGTTTCCCAACCGGTGTTCCGCGGCACACTAGTGTGCCGCGAGATGTTGCCTGGAGGGAGGCGGGCGAGGGCGTTTGCTTCCCGGAGGACGGAGCCAGGGCGCCCCCTGCTGGGCCGGGGCTCGCTCTCCCCAGAGGGTAAATCTGGATCAAATGGGGCGAGGGGCGGGCAGAATTCTGGGGGCCACTGATGCCCTACAGACCCCCCCCCAAGTCCTCCGGGGCGCGCGCTCTGCTGGGCTCTTTTCGGTCGTCGTGCTTGTGGGAAGCCGCCCCTTCCCTGGGCGACGCGCCGCCTCGCGACTCCGGAGTCAGTCCCGCGGGCTCTCGGAGGGACTCGCGAGCGACGGCGCGGCGGCTCCGGGGCGCGCTCAGCCGGGCCGCCGCGCCCCCCCGCGCAGCCCCTGCTGCAGCTGCCCGGCGTGGAGCGCGACGCGGAGCCGGCCGGGCTTGGAGGCGCCCAGGTAGGGCCGAGCCGGGCGGGGGCGGGGAGGTCTCGGTCTGCTGCGGGCGCAGGAGGGCGAGCGGGAGAGGGGGAGCCGTCTGGTCTCCTGGAAGGAAGCGAGGCGGCGGCTGAGGGGGATGCAGCCCCGTCCCCAGCAACAGGCGCTCCTCGAAGTGAGGCCACAAGTCGGGGCTCAGACAGGGCCTGGAAGCAGCGGCTCCGGCTCTTGGGAGCGGAGAAGGGGACTTCGAAAGCGGCCTGGAGGAGAAACCCCGATGCAGCGAGAGCGGGGAGCGTGCTGCCTTGTCCAGGCCTCCTCGCTTTGTGCCGTCCGCTGCCGGGAGCAGGACACAGGGGCTCCTCGTTCGCATGCTTTCCCGGGTGAACGGTGAGGGTTAGGGTTAGGGTTAGGGTTAGGGTCCCTCAGTCCCTCGCTTTGCTGCCTCCTCCCCCCCCCACCCCCAAAGCTTGGAGGTTCCCCGGCAAGGGGGAGGGAAAAAAATTGAAAGTTACACTTTCGTGCGTCCCTCCCGGCGTGACGCTGCACGCTGACGTCACGGGGCTGTAATGGTGGTGTGCCTCGATATTTTTTTCATCAAACAAGTGTGCCTTTGCCCAAAAAAGGTTGGGAAACACTGCTCTATATAACTGAAAATGTACACAGCTTGGAGATGTCTGTGTGTGTTGTGTTTTGAGCAAGCGATTAATATATTTCCTAAATAAATAATCCATCAGTCCAGCCATTTTATATTCATGGAATTATTTTACTGATCTCACTTATAAAACATTAGAAGAACAGCTGGTACAAAACGTACCGTAAAAAAGGAGCAGAGTCACAACATCGCTGTTGTTAGTGTAGCAACGGGAAAGCTTGCTGCCCTGTTACAGATTGCAACGTGCATTTTAAAAATCACTTTTTGTTGTTATTCATTTTGAAGGTTTAGACTCTCGCCTCTAATCAACAGGTGCCCAAGGTGGCTTTACAGGTTGCAACAATACAAACGCCAAAACACTCCCATCCCCAACCCTTCGTCCTCTGGGTGATGGATGGCTCCGTTCTGTAGTCCCAGAACAACTGGCAGAAAAGTTAATGCCTCCCTGCACCTGCTCCTTCTCTGGACCAGTGGAGAAGGCCAGACTGACCTCTCCTTGGATGTGCTTTTTGGGAGGCATCCCTTCTGCTCTGTCGTCCATCATCCTCTCTTGCAGGGACAGGCAACTTGTAGGGGTGGCTGGTACCCACTGGGATTGGTGGGGTGGAAGGCAGGGGGCCCAACAGTAAGGTGGCACCAGAGCCAATGACGGGCACAGCCAACGAATTCTACTTTCGTCCCCATCCTCCTCCTCTCCTCCCTGCTGAGTTCAACAAGAGGCAACACTGAGAAGGAGGAGTTGGGCAACTTTCTGGATTGGTCGTCAGGAAGAAGGCAGACAGGTGAGGGCTGGATGAGGGCAAGCTGGGGTTGGGGGGGGCAGTGCCTCATGTGCCCAAATGGCGCAGACTCCACTGCCAAGAGAGTACTATGTGACTCTCAGCTGAATTTCATGTAGCTGGAGGAGTCCCAAGGGAGAGGGAGAGGCAGGGAAATGGAAGGAGGAGAGGAGACAAGCCCTCTGCAAGCGACTGATTCAGACCACTGGGAGAAGTAATTGATCTCCCAGGCAGTTTGCTTGGATATGTCCATTTTTGGTTGTTGGCTTCAGCTCCACCCTCTGCCAGTATGTGGTCCCTGACAGGTTATCCCTCAGGAAATGCAGCCCTTGGCAGAGAAAAAAGGTTGCCCCCACCCCAATTGTGATTTTACTAACGTATTATCTTTAGCTACACAATAAAGCTGACTGATAGCAGCTCCTGGAAGATTCCCTAAAAAGATGCTAGGCAGGCCACTTTCAATGGGCATCAGAAACTGCATGTTATAAGGAGAGATAAAGAGACATAGCATAGGGCAGGGGTGGCCAACTTCCAAGAGACTGCGATCTACTCACAGAGTTAAAAACTGGCAGTGCTCTACCCCCTTTTGGGGGTTCACGTAAAAGTTGCTGAGCTTCTTCAGGGAAGAGGAAAGCGACATTGAGCTTTTTTTTAGGAAGGAAAGCCCTGTTTTTGGTGGTTCAGGTCATTTTAGGGGTGCAGGGCAAAGATGTTGAGCTTTTTTTAGGGGAGCCAAAGTTTTTTAGCTTCTTTGTGGGGAGCAGTGATCTACTGGTGATCTACTACAGACATCCAGTGATTGATTGGTAGATCACGATCTACCTGTTGGACATGCCTGGCATAGGGTAAGGATTTCAGCCAAACTAGTGGCTTGAGGAGGGGGGAAATCATCAAGCTGGCCACCACATCCATCTTACAGCTATAAGGTCTTCATTTTTGCAAGGATGTTGCCAGGGCAGTTTCTATGTCTGAGATGCTAGAGAAGCAAACACACACACACACACACACACAAAATGGTGTTGGGCTCAGACCCTGAGCACCTCACCTTTCAGTTATTTTTTAAAGTCAAGTTTCTAGTCCTTATGACTGTGAATATATCCTTTGAAAGTGTGTGTGCTTGGAAGCTGGAGTGGGTGCTGAATAAGATGCCCAGAGCCTTGAAGTAGGCCTTTGGTGCCCTGAATTAGGCTCCTTATCCTTTCCCACTGCCAGCAAATCCAGCACAGATAACACAAATCACTTTAAAAAAGTACAGAATAAATTAGTCAGGCACCCTCATTAAATTGTTTTATATGCCTGTTGACAACAAATTTTATTTCAGCAAGCCTACTCAGACATATATCTCACCTATGTTTGTTTGAACAGCCTTACTGATTTCCTCAGAATTTTAATCATAATTATTTTATGTATATTAGTGTCAGGGGTTAGTTTTTTTTAAAGATAGCTTTGTGGACTTTAGCTGTGTATTATCTAGAATTTTATTATATATACCACTTAGAGAGCTCTTGCCTTATCCAACTTATGAATCTTTCAAAATAAATAAATAAAATAAAATGCAGAATAAGAACAAAATATGCAAATACATGCTATGCTCTGTATAGGCAGGGTTGTGCCCAATACTGTATTAGTCAGAACAAAATCAAGACTAATGGACATGACTAACTTAGGTCCATTCATTTCCATGAGTCTAAGTAAAATTTGGATACAATCCATGTGTGCTGTTAAGAACCTACACCTTACCACACTCCCATCTAAATCCAGAGCGCTTTATTGTGCAGTGGTATACAGAAATTCAGCCAAAAAGGGAGTGTTAAACAAAAGAAATGAGTGCTGAAAATCACCTCTACCACTGCCAGTTTAAGTTATGCTCTCCTCGTGGTTCATGTTTAGCTACATTTCTGCTACAGGCCTAAGCTACCAACTAAAAACTCCTCTGTTTAGACTTCTGGTCTGCTGCGGAGGAAATGGCGGCGTGCTCCGTGTTGTCGGAGTAAAGGACGACAAGGTTCCGGCTGCTAGGGCTCTGGGGGGAAACGCCAGGGCTAGGCGACCCCCCGAACAAAAACCCACGGGTAAGTGGGGACTCCAGGGGTCCAGCAGAGCGAGAGAACTCGCTTCCCCCTGACCACCACCACCCCATCGCTGTTTGCAGGGGGAGAAGGGAAGGGGCTTTGCCCTTCCAAAACTGGCACCAATCCCTGGCACTGTCCATTGATCAGCAGGAGCAGGACAGAGCCTGTGGAGGCTCATGCCCCAAAAGAAGACCCCACCCACCCAACGGAAGGGCCGTTGAAGGTCAGTGGTAGAGCAACTGCTTGGCATGTAAAAAATCTCAGGTTCAATCCCAGGCATCTCCAGGTAGGCCTGAAAATGTATCCTGTAGGGATGTCAGGGAATTCCAACAAAAACGGAAGGTGGGAGCAGAAATTGCCGGTGTTTGCTTATTCATCCCGTGTCTGGAACAAAAATCAGTATGATTGGCATTTGCTGTTGCATTCAGTCTGCAATCAATACCCAATGCATCACACTGTTCCCCTCCATTTGGTCTGTGTTTCCTTTGCA